ACTCAAATTCTGCTGAGTGCTAGATTTGCATCAAATACAGGAATGATGTCAATAATTCCGCACTTCTACGTAATTGCTAGATGACACTCTTTATCGAGAAGATAAACAGGTGTCTGCCGGTATATTCCACGGTTTATTTCTCCAGCAAAAAACACCACTTCAAAGATTGTTCACATTTCATTCGTAAGGAAGTCTTTCATTAATCGATTACTAATCGGAGGTTAATGATTGCTCTCGGTTTAAAAATTCTCGTTGAAATCGAAAGAAATGGATGATACAGCATTTCGAATTCCTGAGTCCAAATGAATTCGCAATTATGTACATTTGCTACGTAAATTACTTTTCATAAGGCCCTTATTTATTCCTACACATGTATGGGTTTACATGCGAGAAAAAACTGAGAGGGTTGGCGGTTGCAGTTTCTGATTTGTTTACTCCGTGGCATCGGTGGGTAAAATATGACGTCACAGTATAAGTAAAACAAACCGTAACATTCATTGTTTCGGCATAATTCAAAACAAAATATAGTTTTTAGCACCGTTTGAGGCATAATTGGACGTATTTCTATCAAACGGAACTATGTGCATTGAGACATGAGCCATGAGACTCATGAGAATACATGCGTAACAGAGCTCACGTCATAATCTGCATAGTTCTGTTTGACAGAAATACGTCCAATTATCCTCCATAAATCATCGAAAATCGATGAAAAAAAGTTTCTATCTACTTACATCATCAATCTCTTGCTACCACGATGATGGAAATGAAAACAACTGATTTTCATGCTAGGGACATGCCTTCTTGCTTTAATAGCGTACACATTGACATGCGTGTTTTTCTTCAAGCGGAACCCATTTACTAGCATCTTTTCCAACAACTCCGATACAATTTCAATGCAATTTGAATGTGGAGCTTTGCGAGCGCGCTAACTGGAATCGGCAATCGGGCCCGAGCGATCTCGGCGTGCAATCTACGTTCGGGCCCTTTGCGTCAGAACGGCTGGCTTCAGCCAATTTCATTAGAGCAGGATTGCTCGGCGCTGTCAGAAACGAGTAAACGAAGGAAAGTGAATCAACGAGAAAACAATTTTGTTGCCAGATTCTGCAAGGAAAAAACTGTCATGTTTGACGTGATATGCGTCATCGCAAAGAACGACTTGGGTGCCATTTAGCGAAAGAAAATAACTATGCGACTTTTTTAAAAGAAAAAAATCTAGTTAAAGAGAGTTTCAAGCTTAACTAAAAGCGTGTTTCTTACGCCGATTTAATATCAATAAAATACACTTAACGTGTAAAAATTTGACGTACTGTGTACTTCATTTACGTTGCGCTTTATGGAGAGTTGAAACTTCAGACCGATTGCTTCATTCCGAGTCCGTGTCACGCGGTCAATTTCACCGAAACCCCTCGAAAAAATTCTTGGAAAAACGTCAAAACTTGGAGTCCAAACTCTTGAAAACAATGACAAGAAAAAATACTCTTGATTTAATCGGATTTTTGCTTGAATCAATAGGAAATCCGCTCAAATTAAGAGGCTTGGTTCTTGATTTAAGCAAAAGTCTGATTAAATCAAGAGTATTTTTTCTTGTCGATGTTTTTAAGAGTCTGGACTCTAGGTACAATGTGTTTTTTTTCCAGTGCGGTCGTCCCTTTGAAGCTGAATATGTAGGTCCAGGGCTCAGTTCGACAACAGGGGGGTGCGGATGAGAACTTCGAGTATGCAAAACTAATACCGTGCGAGATGCAGCTTCTTCGCGTGGTTGCGCAATCCAGTGCGTCGCGACGCTTTTGAGCTGATCGACTTTTTAGCGTTCGCGCAACCAGATCGGGAAGTTGCCAACCCGATCCGGGCGAAACGACCGGAAGAAATCGGCGAACACTAAAAAAGCACCTTATCGATGAGACAGTGGCTCTTCCATGCCTTGCCAAGATGCCTCCCCGTCTTGACCAATGGGCGAGTTATGAACCGAGTTACTGCGTTACGCAATTGTTTTTGCGATGCGTCACGTGGAAAATAGGAGCGCGCATCGAAAAGCTTAGGAATGGGCCATTACGCAAGATATGATTCAAGTAAGCACCAGTTATACGTTTCCTCTTCGAAATTTTACGTGGAAAGCGATTAACGCATGCAGCGGAGAGATGGGTAGCCAAGTTTTAAGCGAGATATTAACACGTAGATAATACTTATCAAATGAAACACAAATCATAAAAATTACGTCATTTGTAATTTTGCTATTTGACGAATGTTGATTATCAATATTTACATCTTTTTCAGCGGGTGATTTCCGAATTTTCCGTTGTAAGGGGTTGTTGGCAGGATTAAAATTTACTGGATAAGTTTTTTGTAAAATACTTTAAATTGAATCATCAAAAAAATTCCTGAGAGGAGGGAGGAAATTTTCATGGTAAAGTCCACAAATCAAATAACGAGTGGTCCCTTGACTTGAAATTTTTTGTCTTTTCTACCTAACCAATTTCATAAGCAGTTCTGAAAACAAAACACGTTTTATTGACCTTAGTTCATTCGGGCCCTACGATAGCACTTCAGTTCATCGATTAAAACTCAAACTGCAGTCCCATTAACTACGTCATTCTATCGCGGCAATAGAAGTACTCATAAAGAGTATGATGTATGCTGCGAGATAAGTTCACCATGTGAGCTTTGGTGTATGCGTCAACAGACCAGTGGCGTGGCGTGAATGATCGATTATCGATATTTCTCCATTTGAAGCTATGGTAAAGAATCGAGCATTAAGGTGTTCGCTGCGAACACCCTGTAAATCGATCCTTTACCATAGGTTTAAATGGCAGATCAATCGATAAATCGTAAAGCACGCCACGCCACTGTCTGTTACAATCTTAAATTTCTGTTTTTTCGAGAACTCGATGGGATCGATCGGTTGAGATACTTGGTTTTTGTGCTCATGTGAAGTAGTCTCCGAGATAAAGAGTAGAGAAGATTGATGGAAGAAATGATGCGCTATTATTTCCAACTTTACTGAACGTCCCTCACAGTACCAATAACATTTTCGGACCAATTTTTGCTGCACTATCGTAGCAAATTTGCAGAAAATGCAATTTACTGCCCTCTTAGCTTCTTCACTTTTTGGCAGAATTATCTTGCAGGAATTTTGGGGCAGTGCCATCGGATTTTAGCTGGGGAACTGACCATTCGAAATCTCAATAAAAAAGCAAATGAAAGAACCGTTAAATCGGAGCTGATTGTGTGGATAGAGATGAAGAAAAATAGCGATACATGCTTGAAATTGTCTTCTGCTTGGATTCGTGACTGATGAAAAATTAGGTTTCAGAAGGAAAGAAAGAAGCTTGGAGAAAATGCGAAAAAAGAAGTCTGTAAGATGCGGGATCATTATGACGAGTAAAAATATGTGCCAATGTCTATCAGCCTAATAACGATTACAAAGTTATGATGAGAGACTGTTTCATAACGGGTGTCAACAATAGGTCTACTCCAAAAATGGACAAAGCGCTACTTTTGAGCTCGTTATTTCCATTTTCGGAGAACTTTTCAGATGGGCAAGCAAGATAGAATGCGTTCAAGGCTTGTTGTTTTTGTCTGGGATTGTACCAATAAATATGCAATTTACTTTTGTTTGAAAAAAAAGTTAAAAGTCTGAAGGGCAACCTAGTGAGTGATTTGTTGTTGCTTGTAATGCAACTTGAATTTTAAAAGAGTTGCTCCAGCTTAGATTTGATCTTTTGAAAGTCACCGAAGTTCCTCCAATTCTGTTATTAGCCAAAAACCGTTTATCCTAGCTCTAGTTACAGCCAAACTTCGGTGATTCTATAACCTAAACACTCTCTTTATATAACGTTACACGGAGGAAAAACTTCAGTTCATCTAGAACACCAAAGTTTTCGGCCATGGGAACCAAACACCAATTCAGATGACCAAAGATTCTGTGCCGAAACTCCGTTTCCATGGCCGAAAACTTCAGATGCCTTGGGTCGATTGTTGAATCGTTTATCGAATAATCCTGATCGATAAATCCCTATCTTAGCAATGCTCTCTATCGATCATGGTCGTTCGATATCGATTCAACAATCGAGACGCTAGACTGAGAACAATAGTCTTCCTTCTGAATAGAAGCAATTCAATCCTTAATTGAAAAAAAATTCCGGTCGAATGAATTGCACGTACGGTGTTCTATACCACTCCAACTATTCGGTTCGTCGAATTGAACTTTTCGGTTCGTCGAATTGAACTTTTCGGTTCGTCGAATTGAACTTTTCGGTTCGTCGAATTGAACTTTCAGTTCGAGTAACCAAACTTTCAGTTCGTTAGACTTATGAGGTAAGGAAAACAGATGAATGAAGTTCGGTTGCACGAACCAAGATTTCGGTTCCAGGAATTGAAATTCCAATTTGACAAACTGAATAGTGAGAATGATATGGTGCACCGAACATTCCTTTCATAAGACTGAACTTTCTTTCAGTGATAGTACGGAAATATCTTCATCCGTGCATTACACCGAAAGAAAAGTTACAGGCTAGATAACCATACCGTCCATGCAGCGGTCAGAGGTCAAAAGTTCCAGGCACTGCATGGAGCTGTCGCGTCGACTGCTCCGGGTGCTACGCCCGGAACTTTCGACTTTCGAGCCCGGAACGCGGACGGTACGTCTATACAGGGTGATCCAAAAGTCCCTTCCACCCCCTCTAACTTTTTACCTAATTGAGGTAAAGATTTGAAACTTGGGGGATGTTCCTAGGTCAAAGGGAGCTACTTTTTGGCCCCCTAAAATTTTCAGGGGGTCCCTATTGGGGGGAGGGGGGCAACGGACCCCAACTTCTAGGGGGGCCAAAAAGTAGCTCCCTTTGACCTAGGAACATCCTCCAAGTTTCAAATCTTTACCTCAATTAGGTAAAAAGTTAGAGGGGGAGGATGGGACTTTTGGATCACCCTCTATAAGCCTTAAGTACGGCTCCCCAGCCAGGTCTTTTTTCCAGTGTATAAATTAAAAATAAACTGCATCAAACCGTGTGAAATACCAATAAATTCCACTGCGACTGGTAAATTCGCCACTTGACACAAAACCAAACAACACACACGAAAATTGAAGGTCGAAAAGCGGCGTTCGTCGAGTTTTCCGCGTCACGCACGCGGGAAAACCGTTACACGCACACACACAAAAGCTCACCCACGAAAACACAAACACGTGAACGCGACTCGGAGGGGCGTGAGTTCTGCCCGCGGAAGCGCGACGGTAAACACTGGCGACTCGCGGGTCGCGGCCGCGGTTTCGGAGCGGGTTCGCGCGTGACGTCAGCGGGGGCCGCCGCGCATGCGCACGGATCCCCGCTACTTTCACTACGCTGTACCCGCACACCTACGGCGCCCCCCCTCCCCTCCGCCTACGACTTGGCGCTTTGTTTTTCCTCGGACTCGGACTCGAAACCGTGACCCTTTAATTAAAAATCCGCGCGCCGGGAATGAGATTCTGCCTCCGGATTGCGGCTGTTTCGGGTCATCACGCGGGCGATTGGTGTGGAATTGCCGGCGTCTAGGCCCCTAGTAGCTTCGTCTCGAGGTCCGTTCATCCGAGATTAATCCCACTTCCGATATGTCTAGCCTGATTCTGCGCGGCATCCTCCCCCGCCGACGGAAAAAGGCCGTAAATCATCTATTTCCTCCCTAAGATTGTCAATGGCTTTCCTCGATATGAATAAACGAAGATACGCAGAATTTAATTTGATTCAATACCTTACTTCAACCTTCCTTGATTGAGCAATCACCCGAGCAGCAAAACAGCGATTTCCGGAGGGAACCGAGTGAATTTCGATCTTCAGAGTGAGGGAAATCGAGGAAAATACGTTAACAACGCCTTGATGCAACTATTCGTGTCTATTGGATGTGCGTGTTGCTTGTGAAAAATTGAGGGCGTTTTGCTTTTTTTTCGCGCAAGACATTATACAAGCGAAGCGACATGCTGTAACGATAATGTCCGATTTCAAGGGCTCGCGATGAATTTAAAAGAAATTCTGATTCTTAAATCAAATACTTCCAAGTTGTTTAACAGGGGGAAGTAATTGTCTTAAGGGTGGTGGTTTTCACGACTTTCTAGTCAAATTATATAGGCACGGAATTGTTTCAAATTTTTCTCCATGTTCATAATTTAAGGTGTAAAAAGACCAATCTTCCAAGCGATCGTAAACAAAATAACCTGATCACAAGTTAAGTACATTTTGACAATTCCTCCAACTCACGGATATGGAAGGACAAAACATTCGAGAAACATTCAAAAAATTTTAATCCACGAATTATTAAAGCATCAGGAACGATGCCTTTATTCTCTTATGATTCTAAAATGATATGTAATATCTGGACTACGGTTACATTATATGTAAGCAATTTCTGATTTCTCTCTGTTTGTTACGATTCTTGAAAAATTCCCGATATTTTGGTTTCTAAGTCAATAGCGGGTGGATCTTTTCCACATGTCTCTCGCTCCAGTGAAAATTGATGCATGAAGCATAAAACATAACGTGGGAAGGAACATCTAATAGGCACTTATAGTTGCATTCGGGTGTTTTCAGAGTACCTTCGCCCGGTAACGGCACGTCGCAACGGATCGCGTACACAACGCTGTGCGGGAAAAAAAAGCAAAACACCTTCAATTTTTTACAAGCAACACGCACATCCAATAGACACGAATAGTTGCATCAAGGCGTTGTTAACGTAATTTCCTCGATTTCTCTTACTCTGAGGATCGAAATTCACTCTGTTCTCTCCGGAAATCGCTGTTTCGCTGCTCGGATGGTTGTTCGACCCCTCGAAAATTGTCTCACTACTCATTAGAATAGTTTTTTCCGACTGTATTCCTTACATATCTTACTGAAATGGTCAAATAGAAAACCTGGGCCCACTTGACTCGCCAGTTTCCAGCAGATAAACTGACTATTTGAAATTTTTGTGCGTAGGTAGGCATATATTTTCATGGTTTTTTGTTTTGTCTTGTTTATAGATTTGTGGCTCCGAGGATGATGCATAAAAAAATGGTGAGTTTTAAGTCAAATTTTATTCAAAACACCGGTTTAAGAGTTTCGCGTATAAAGAGGCTTCCTGTATTTTTACAATTTTTAACGTGATTTGAGGGTCATTGCACGGGTGAACTAAAAAATTTCATGTTCCTTACATTCTCATAAATTAGATCAAAGGCTGTTTATTATTCCTTTCGTAGGGAAGCTCTCTCCCATTAATCACCCAACCATAAAGCGAGGACCTCTCGGTGTTCAATTAAACACGGGACGATTCCATTTTTCAATTCCTCGTCATTATTTCGAATCGACAAGTCAGACTCATTTTCCGATCCTCCGATGCACAAAACGGACTTAATGAACAGTTCGGCGTTGTCAAAACATGCTAAAATATAGTATTTTTTCATAGGAGGATCATTGGACTTATGGCATGATGTAGCGACCGTGCTTTTAATCCCCCTTGCTTTTTTTCTCAGTGACCCACATGCCTTGTTCTCTCTTTAGCAGATCGATGTTTTCGTATTGTTCCACTGTGACGTCACGGATGCTTCTGGGCTGTAGCTGATGCTCATTGCATATTTCATTGGCACATGTATCCGGTGGCACGTTCCATATTTGACATTAATAAGCTGGTTTCGATTCCCATAGGGTAAACGTGCTGTCCCTAGCTTCAATTTCAGCATAACTGAGGAGTATTATGTGATTGGGGCATGGCTATTCTTGGCCGGACACTTCCCGGCTGGCAGATAATTGGATATTTTGGAAATGACGTCAAGAACGAGAGAGAGGGATAAAAAATATGTGACTATTTTCTCGGTTCTTTTTTGGTTTCAACTAAATAGTGGTGTCGAGTAAAACCAATTTTTGCTTAAATCATTTAGCGCTAGACCGGTTCCACTGAAAAACTGGATGGTTCAACCGTAGTTTTTTTACTATACTAACATCAGCCAAGCTTATGATCATTTCTACCCCTCCCCCCTTTTTTTAAATCATGGTCTTGGTTGTGATCTTTCGTCAAAAAACATGAAAAAAAGAACGTAATTCTTTCAGACGGTTTGAATTTTGTTCTAAAATATACTAATTCTCATAAAGTATGACGCCCCTCTGGCATTGTCTTCAATCGCGGTGTATAACTTAAGAAGCTGCCCACCGAAAATAATGCAAACCCGGAAAAAAATAACTAAACTATTCCCGAATTTCGAAGAAACATACAAATTATAACGATATCTTTCCGGCGATTTCAAAGTTTTTCACGTAATCGAACGGATCTTGATCAAATAATATCACTTGAAGATCGATCTGATCGACATTCTAATACTTCCCGTTTCCGCAGTAATTTAGGGTTCAACGCTCCGTCCGACCTATCGATCTTCGATATATTACCCGCAGTTGATTCATATTTCGGAGTTTTCGTCGTTACCTCATCCGGATAATTCCGCGGAATCGACCCAAGATTTCAACACCGGTTTCGTCGGTAATCCAGGTGGGGGGAGGTGGGAGGGCGGCGGAAAACTGCGACGGAAAATGAAGAGCGTACGAAGTGAGGATTTGTTCGCCGGTTTTTGTTTCACTCCGATGCGCTGACTTCCTTCGATTGTCTCAACTCTCTGATTTCATATTCGTTTCCGTTCAGATCAATCGATATGCGCCTCGCTGCCGCGAACCAAGCCAAAATATTTTTGAGACTCTGCGCTGATTTGTGCAAGCGGCGTATACTTATTGCACATGATGCATTTACTTTTGACACCCCCCCCCCCCCNTTCAAAAGAACCCCTTCCGTTTCTTCGAATGCTGACAAAAATTTCCTGAGAAACTGACAACAGCTTCATAAAATTGGTTAGCTAGATTTAAGGTTAGATGAAGCACTGGCGTCATGCATCCTCACTGTTGTTCTGTCAATAAATTTAGAAATCGCGAGTATACGATGTGAGTCAAAAGTTAAAAGAATTTAGTTTCCTTTTAAAATGTACTCGATTATCATGGATTTAAACTTGCTACAACTGCCTTTCGCCGATTATCAGAACATTTTCATTGAAAGTGGTAAGAATAAACGGAGACCTCGCTATTGATTTATCGACAGTGAAACTCCCAAACCACGTATCTCGGTTTGCGACGTCGGTTTGCGACGTCGCGTCGTCGACTTCATGCCATACTTCATTTTTTTACACAGGAAACCACTTAACGACAATTTTTGAAAACTTCAATGCTTTTTCTTCTCTGCGCAAAGAAAACTCTGGGAACTTCAATGAATGAAATTGATGTCTTCTCTGTCAAAAAAATAAAATGAAGCGGGGATTTTTATACAAACGAGATACGTGGTCTGGTCACTGTCATTATTTACATCGATACACTTTGTGATTAGAGCCTATGATAAATGAAAGAGGTTTGCGACGATTAAGACGCATTGAAATATTGGTTAATTAGAACACAAATTTTGTCTCAAGGTAATATACAGAAGAATTGATCTCAAAAACACCGGTTTAAGCCCAGTGATTTCAGTTTGAACTCATGCAAACCTATAGGCTCGATGTAATACCTAAAACTCGTTTCCTTAAAAATCTCCACAACGCTACGCACACCTCTTCCACGCATGCTTCAATACTACTTGTCAACACAGCGAGTGTGAGATCTCTGCTCCACTGACCACATCCAATGACTTTAAGCGGATTTTAGGTTGAATGAAATTAGGTCTCCTCTGCTCATCGCCGTTAAGACAATGCGTCAAGAAGACGACCGCGTTGACAACCGCATCCGTTCATAAATTATACGGTGCGCAAGCTTTGCATATCCCAAGTAAAATCAACCTGTCAAAAACTTCACTTCTCGTGCGGAATGTGTTCGTAAAATACCGTTTTATCGCCCTGCGGGACGATTGTTGAATCGTTATCGAAAGCTTCTGATCGATAAATCCCTATCTTAACAATGCTATATATCGATCAAGGTCTTTCGATAACGATTCAACAATCAAGGAGCTGAATAATTACAACTCAAGCTCATTAATTACAGAATTCACAGAGTATGACCAAAAGAATCCATTCACAACATTTTAGTTCGTCAAACTCGTCACTGCCAGATAAAAAGAAGGAATGTGTTACCAAATGGACACTAGAAGACAAGAGAATATCATTTAACCTAGAAACAGCGGCCGGCAGCAATGTTTCATTTCCTCTCGGGAGAGGAACATTCCTATCTCTGCGTATAGATTCGACTGAAAATTGACGAGAATTCTCCATTACTCATGT